CTTGGAAGCTAAGCAGGATCAGCTCTGATTAGTACTTGATTGCAAGAATGTCAGCAAATACTTCAGAAATATGCTATATTTCTGAAGAAGGAACTTTTTTTGTGTCAGGAGCGACTTGAGAAACTGCAAGTCACTTCTGGTGTGAGAGAATTGGCCATCTGCAAGGACACTGCCCAGAGGACACCCAGATGTTTGATGTTTATCATCCTTGTGGGAGGCTTCTGTCATGTCCCTGCATGGGGAGCTGGAGCTGACAGATGGAGCTCAATCCCCTCTCCGGATTAAAACCACTGACCTATCGGTCAGCAATCCTGCCAGCACAAGGGTTTAACCCATTGCACCACTGGGAGCTCCTTAAAAGGAACTAGTAAAACCACATTTAAGTGTTTATTGCTTTGAAAAACCCTTTGAAGTTAACAGGTAACTTGCATACAAAAGGTAACAATTCATTCTCTTCTTGAAAAATGCAGCTACAGAAAACCAAGAAAAGAGCTAGTACTCCCCAAATCATTTCTCCAAATGCCTCTACTTTTTTTCCCAACCTCATCCTCTCATGCCACCATCAAAGCACTTGTTTGCTACTATATATCATAAACTGGCACACAAAAATGGCTAACAAACCACAGCTCCTCAAAGGCTTCCCATTAATAATTAGCTAACCAGATTGGTCACTTTGTAATAAGATTCATTATAATGGAAAAAGAATAAAATAACCTTCAAACACTTTTAACAGAACTCTGTGTCCCAGGTCACTTTGCTTCCTGAAATCTACCACTTGACTTGTCAAGCTTGATTTAACACCAGGGTAGCAACAATAAACATGGAAATCACATTTCAAAAGGTAAGTAAATATCAATAGCCAGGGTAATGAGATGCTTGTGATACAAAGACACATAATGGTATATATTTGCTTTTTGCATTAAGTGGCACACAACTATCTCTGGTCATTTGTCAGTTAACAATGCGATGTAGAAAGTTAGAAAACAAGTGACAGCAAAGAAGAAGAAGAAGAAAGAAGTATATTATACACAGCTACGGGGAAAGCAGGTGTAGTCAACTAACCAATATGGATACTGATATGTAATTTTCCAAGTCAAGGCACAGGAACAATGTGCTTGTTAATTAAAAGTCATACTTTACACTTCTGGGAGGAGGAAGCTGTGTAATAAATAACCACAACTCACTGGTTTATTTCAGTTTTCAACAAGCACAGCAGGCTGTGCTTCAGTGCTCTGGCATTGAGAAAAGATATGCTGACCTGCATAGGCTGGAGTTGGAGAGAAGCTGTTAAACATATGGTCTTATGGAAATATGATATGGACCACTGAGGAGATCGAAAAAATTATATAACTGAGACCCTTCAGAGAGAGACAGCTAATCTCAAGGGGTAATTTATCATTGCAAACCAACGTCCATGCTTCACCAGGGTATTCATGGTTGGAACGGGGGGGTGGGGGAAACACATGGCTAATTGTGTCTTCCTAGTTTTCTGCATGAACATATTTCACACTTTTCCTCCTTCCTTTTCACACACAAACAGACAAACCAATAGACAAGTAACTACAGAAGCGGATAAAGCAGGTTCAAAATATTTCAAATCTGGCAAATTCAAACACTACCATTTCCCAAAGCCTGTCACCACCTCTAAATTAAAAACAAATAGTTTTTAATCATCTTAAAGCATTGTTATCTTATCATCACTATGAAGAAAGGTGATTGGAAAACACAGCAAATTGATCCATTATATACATTCTCAAACTGTGACTAGAATAGTGTCAGCATTATAAGAATTCAAGTCAGCCTTGTGGTAACCACCACAATTAGTTCTGAGGGGGGTTGCCTTTGCTTTCCTCTAAAACTGAGAGAATGCAACTTGAGAGAATGCAACTCATCTAGAGGAACAGTGGGTTCCTGCAGCTGAGTGGGGCTTCAAACCCTAGTCTCAGGAGTCAGAGTCCAATATTCAAACCACTAAACCATGCTGGCTCTCATTTTCCTGTATCCATATTCAATTGAGTGGAAAGTATTTGTATTTACCAAGAATACATTTCGTGTTTCATCAATGAAGCCACAGCATTAATCTAAGTAAGGTTCTAAAATACATAACATACAACCTCCTTGTTATGTCAGCTCCTCTGGCCGCCAGTCTGCCACTGAGCACAATTCAAAGTGCTGGCTTTAACCTATAAAGCCCGAAACGGTTCTGGCCCAGCTTATCTGTCTGAACGTGTCTCCCCCTATGAACCATCTTGGAGATTAAGATCATCCGGATAGGTCCTGCTCTTGGTCCAACCTCCTTTGCAGGTGTGATTGGTGGGAACGAGAGACATGGCTTTTTCAGTCATGATCCCTCGGCTGTGAAACTCACTCCCCAGTGATATTATATCAGCCCTTTCCCTCCTGACTTTCAGAAAGAGGGTGAAAATATGACTTTAAGATCAAGCCTTTGGCAAATAACACATTGCAATAGATGGACTTGGATTTATGTGTAATGATTACTGGAGTGGCCTGATTATGACTGCGGATAATGTGGTTTTGTAGTTGTAATTGCAATGTATTATGTGTATTAATGTTCTTAATATTGTTTACATTTTAAATTGAAATGTTTATTTAATGGTATATTGGGGTATATCATTGTTTTTAAGGCATTGAATTATTGCCTACGTAGTAAGCCGCTTTGAGTCCCCCTCAGGATCAAGAAAGGCAGGATATAAATACAGTAAATAAATAATTGCAGCTTCAGCAAGCCAAATGGGATTTACTTCCATAAACAAAACAACAGCTTTCAGGAGAAAATATGGGCAAAGGCAGCAGAAGTTTCTCTCTGCACTCCTAACCCTCCAACTGTTTATTCTCCACCTCCAGCTGCCATTTACTTTACTTTAATCTGGATGTTTAATTCCGATCAAAGCACCTGACACTGTTCTTAGTTCATCTTTGAAACAGCAATATACTTCCCTCCCCGACTTGTAGTAAAGAGCAATATTGAAAGAATAATGTTTGAAGGAGAAATGCTTCATCATTCATTCAAATTTTTCAGAGGGTGCAGTTGTACTACATATGCCTATTCAGTCCTAGTTCAATGTGATTTATTCCCTGGGAAAAACGTATTTTCCAAAGAAGTGGCATACCAATATAAACAAAGTAAATAAATCAATACAATTATTTTCCCAAAGAAGTGGCATACCAATATAAACAAAGCAAATAAATCAATAAATTAATAAAATCAGCCTTATTGATCAAAATGTTAAAAGGAAAAAAATACCACAATTTATTAATTCATTTCTCTTACTTCATTTAATTCCACTTTGAGCTCCAATATGTGCATGTCCGGTATGTAACGGAGAAGGAAAAATATTTGCAAGGTCAGTAAAACAGAAACAACAGTAGCAGTAGTTGCTGTGTTCAGTGTGGATAGTTTGAGATTTTTAAAAACTGACCTTTGGAATAAAAATAACATTGCCTTCATTTCATAGATTAGATGGGAAGGCATTACTTGCTCTCTTAAGATTAATGGTGCATGGTGAACATTTTGTTGCTCTGTTCTCTAGCCCACAAATGTGCTCACTTATCTAAGATTTTCTGCTGTATGGAATAAAATTGTTCCCCCTTATGAAGCACATCGAGCGCCTGCCTTGATCCCAAGTATTAGATTTGGCAGTCATCAGATTCCTGCCAAGTAGATGTATATATTTGTGCATGCATATCCTGACAGAACAAACATTTTATTAATTCAATCACTCATTTGGCTACATGGGCAAACTGGAAGAAAGCACCTGATGATATAGATTCCTTTCCTTCCACTTTGGGTCAAATCAAGTGAAATTAGTTGTCGCCTTCCTATTTTATGGTGTGACAATTTTGTTTTGGGTGTTTGACAGTTCAATCCATCCCTTTCAGGAAATGCATAACCAACTTCCCAAGACAGTCACTTCCTGCTGAACATCAGAGCTAGTCTCGAAGTATTCCAAAGATATACTCTGGAGAATGTCCACAAAATCTATGTGGTGAAAATGAAAAAAGGCACTTTTTTCATCCAGGTATTACATGGATGTGAAATTCCAGTCTCCTGTTATCTTATATGAAAAGCATATGCCTTATATCATGCTGAAAGACGCAGGCATCATTGCTATTGACAATCTCTCAAATTTCCCAGTGTACATTTGTATTGTCAACCTTTGCTGATAGACAAGACAAAAATTACACTTGATGAAGGCATGTTTATTTAAACCCAGCTCTGCCCCAATAATATATAAACTGGGAGCCAGATGTTGGATTTGTTGAAACAAAGGGAACAGAAATGAACATGTAAAACCACTTACTTCCCTGAAGTTTGTTCTCCAAATACTTTTCATCCTGCTGTACTTACTGAAGAAAAACATTTAGTTTGTGAAGAATTAAATTTCAGAAATGACAAGATTTATCACATTTCCGCATCTGCATTCTCAAGCATATTCTGCTTTGTATGTGATTTGGGTAGACCCTGGTTTAAGTAAACACGACTCTTTTCACAAGTCTAACATTCCACATTCACTCATTTCCCCAAATAAAATAAAATGTCTGGAGTTGATTTTTCAGCCCTAAGTATAAAAAAAATGACTTTGAAACAGTGTGAGAGAATGCTAAAGACCGGTTCCAGATACACCTGTCCATATTTAGATTTATGATTGCTAAGGTGAATAGTCAAAAGCAGAAAACTATGAGGTGGAAAACAAAAGAAAATTTCATCAGCAAGAGCTTCCACCTGTGACATGACAGAGTTTAGAAATTTCCTTTGTTGTGATGTTTCTTAATGACCTGAAGACTGGTGCTAACAGCTACATATAACTAAACAAGCACATCCAGGCCTGCAACTAGGAATAAACTACCAGGAAGTATTAAACTGTGACCACATAAGGTATGCCAGGATTGCTACACAGCTCTGCAAAGGACACTACATGCAATCAGGTAAAGGAACTTCTTGATGGAAGGCTGAAATTGAAAAACAAGTGGTTACATACCTGTAGAATATGTCCTTTAACACAGTTTCTCCTGCAGCATTCGAAGACAACTGTTGCGCTTAACCACCAAACGCAGCTTACACCTGGTAGGTAAAGAGAACACACTTGGATTTTAATTGAACCAACACCACCCAACAGAAAACAAGTGCAAAACTTTGCTGAAAGTCCTCAGTTTCGTTTCAGCCTGTGCTTGCATTTACTCCCCTTCTGCACAGGCACTGTCTCTCCCCACTTCCCAGAGTTGCTACGTAGTGGTCTATAAATATTGGCCCAGCACTTGCTCGCTCCTCTACTTGCTCATGGCACAGGTCTGTGTTACTGTACACCATGGTATTGCTCGGCTGAAGTCCTCAGCTGCTCAGACAAAGGCATGAATTGGCTCCCTACCCTGCAGCTCTTAGCCTGCCTGGAAATACCATTTTGCTGCCAGTTTTACAGATGCTGTGGGCCTTTCCTGGAGGCTCGGATCAGACACAGAAGGGTAATTATGAGGCTTGTCTGAAGAAATGGAGCTTTCTCCAAGCAGGTGGAAAAGGGAGGAAAAGGGAAAGAGGAGGAGGGAAGAACTACCTTTGTTTTGGCTAAACTGCCTAATCTCCAGCCCCCTTTATAGCTCCATATATATAAATATTATTCAATTAGGATCATTAAATTTAATTACTGCATAATATGGACGTCAAACATTTCTGGAAGTGCATTCTATAAAACCAGATTCTATCCATGTGCTTTCTTTTCCACAAGTGTTTAAAAAGTAGTCAGACTTTGTAAACGGCAGCAAGGCATAATGACAGAAAAGAAAGAGTCATTTCAGAAGAGCAGTAAGAAATCTAGTGTGATCCATTTAGGCTATTAATACCAAACTATTTTGAAATTCAGGAAAAAATAGATAGTAGCAAGTAGAGTAGCATATGTTTTACAATCCTATTTTATAAAACATTCTAAATGTGGGTAAACAAAAGTATAATTTCAAATAAAGTCCATCTGAATTCAATAGAGCAAGCTCCCAGTCAATTCTGTATAGCCAAAGTGGGAACTGTGCAACACTTCGGATACTGCTGGATTAGAGATCTTCAAACATTCATCACCATTGGTTTCCCTATATTGGTTATAGCAGCTGGGAGTTGCTTATCAAAGGGCTGCATAACCCCACTCCTGGCATATAGCCTGAAGGTGTAACCTTGCAGTTACCTCCCTACATTTGATCTCCTGGATCAATCCTCACTCTCTCCATGGAGAAACAAATATGATGTTGGAGATCTTGCTAAAATGATTCTGGTGCCTATCAGAGCACTGTGATAGTAATGCATATAGATATCTTTCAGCAATGTTTAAAATTGAAAGGGTGTGGGTGAAGGAATCTAACAAAATTTCTGAGATTAATTCATTTATTTTAGCTTGATATTTCATGGATATCAACACAGTTCTGCATAAAAGGATGTGGATGGATATCCAGGAAAACTCAAGACTCATTTAGCCTCAATGCTGCAGCTGGATTCCTTCTCATACAACCTTTCTCATTTTATGCTGAAGAAGACTAACATGGCTACTTCCTTGAAAACTACAATGCTAAAATCATTTTAGCTGCTTTAATGTTACTTGACTTTTAAACTACACATATAACTAACAATATAGCTTGACTAAAATGAGGTACATCTTCACATTTTCCAAATCCATACCTATTAGGTCTGGGTGGTTTCGTTCGTTAATTTCATAATTCGTTATTGATTCGTATTTAAATTAGCTTATGATCCGATATTGAGCCATGCAGGAACAGCTAAAAATCGAAACGAATTTTTCAATTTATTTCGTAATTGTCTCGTAATTGTTCGTAATTGGTTCGAAATCGTTTCGAAATTGTTTCGAAATTGTTTCGTTATTATTTCCATATGTCCGGTGCAATTTTTATAGTTGTTGTTTGTTTTATCAGTGATAAAAAATAAATTATCACACCAACAGTCAACAACAGAGGGAGAGGGAAGCTTCAGAAGTTCCCCCTGTCCCATTTGGAGGGTTTTTTAGCATATTGCGCAATCGCGTCCGCCATTAACGAATCAATTCAAAATTTACGAAATTTCGGAAATTTTGAAATTTTTAAAAGGGAAAATTTTGAAATTATTACAAAATACCAAACGCAAGGGCCACCTAAAAACGAAACGAGTTTAGAAACAAATTTTTCCGTTGTTACCCAGCCCTAATATCTATAGAATGATACAAGTCCACACTAGTAAGATTCAGAGGAAGACGCTTAGTTCAGTCCTAGCTAATCAGACTATCAGAAAACTATTTCCACCTCTTTGTCCTAGGTGTTTTTTTATTCCTGAATAAAATGTGCCACCATTAAAGAATGCCACTCCAAGCAACAGTCCTTATTAGAATGCTCCCTCTTAAAAGGATAGAGTGGATTGCCCAAAGCTGTCATCCATAAATTCTGTAACAATTTATAAACTCTTTTTCTCCCTCTCCATGTGTACACATTTACTTTCTGCTTTTACTCAAATGAGCTTAAGGCAGTGTACATTGATGTCCGCCTCACTTTATGCTAACAACATACTGAGGTAGGTCAGGATGACAGATTAATAATAGGTCCAAGCTCATCCACTGAGTTTCATAGCTCTGTGAGGACTTGAACATTAGTCTCTCAAGATCCTGTTTAGCACTTAACTCATTTGCTCTTCTGTGCTTCAATGGATTTGCATACTAAATTTAATGATTTCCCAACAATCCACTGCCACACTCTTTTCTTCAGTGGACAACATTTGCTAATTGGCAATCTCTTCCTCACCCAATTCAATCACACATATACTCGCTGCATGCAATTAAGGTAAAATTAAAATACTGAATTAACATTATACTATGGATAAAATAAAAATACCCCAAAATAAGTTGTACAAAGCAGATGTCACAAGAAAGGGAGCCATTGGGGGGGGGGGGGTTATAAGATTCCAGAGTCATTTCATGTTTGAAGGAAGACAGAGGAAGGTAAATAGTCATGCTTCCCTATTACTGCATTTGAATTACTTGGGATCTTATATTTGCTCAGAACTTCATCTGGATCCGGACAAAATCAAACAGGCAAGAGAAAAATCTAGCCCTCCCCACTACGTACACAGAAAACAGTGTACTCACTATTCTTCCTGATTCACTTGATGATTCTGCTAGTAGCAAAATACGTTTAACCATTTGATGCCATGGCATTATCTATTGGCTTCATGAACTCTGATGGGCTGAATTATGCACCTAATAAGAACAATCCTTTTCCATGCCAAAAAAGCTGTTGTGAATAGGAGTGAAACAATATCTCCTTTCCAAAAAAAAAAAAGGAAAAAAAGGTAAGGTGCATCTGATGTAATTTGGAAAATTACATCTGATGTACTAGGCAGAGATAATGGATCCAGCAGAACAGCATAAAAATTGGGGTGTCAAAACTGCTTTTACTCATTGCAAATTAATTCTCCTCCATAAGTGAATAGCAGAAACACTACAGAGGTAGTCTATTCAAGAAGTGAGCTAATAGTCGGGTGCAGGATTTCCCAGGAAAATTCTGCAGGTGTGAGAATATTATCCATATTTATTGATGATTGCTCTTGCAGGCACAAGCTATACTAAATATAGCTAAGACTAGTGATCAAATTTACTAGAAATGGTAACTACAAAAAAGGGACCAAAAAATCTAGTTCATGTGAATGGATCTTTTCTATTTGGAACAAACATTGAATTTACTCAGTGTTCAGATAGATGTTGTTTCCATGATCTATCAATTCTATCTGTAGTATTGTATAATGGAAAGCCTCATGAAGAATGAAGTTGTGAGACTTTGAAGAAATGTCCTAAAATGTGGGGGAAAATTGGTCTTCAGAAGTACTTCTATGAAGCAATTTTTTTCAAGGCCAATGTAGATATAGAATATGCCTCAAACCATTTTGGTAGTACCTAATATAATAAACATAATATAATAATATAATAAAGTGATCCAAATATATGCCCAACCACAGCTGCTGAAGAAGCAGAAGTAGATCAGTTCTATGAGGATCTGCAGGACCTACTGGATAATACACCAAAAAGAGACATTATTTTCATTACAGGAGACTGGAATGCCAAGGTGGGAAGTCAAATGACAACTGGGATCACAGGCAAGCATGGTCTGGGAGAACAAAATGAAGCGGGACGCAGGCTGATAGAATTTTGCCAGGAAAACTCGCTGTGTATAACTAATACTCTCTTCCAACAACCTAAAAGACGGCTTTATACATGGACT